AAACAATGTGACTTCATGAACACATGTGACCACTGTGCTACATGTACCAGTGATAACCATGATGCAGTGTATGTTTATTTTTATTATAAATTCTAATCTTTATACAAAATTATTATTTTAGGAAGCTGCAGTGACTGATGCGAATGGTGTAGAGATTGTTCAACCCCCCAAGTCAGAAGATGCCCTAGAGGAAGATAAGAAACCAGAGGATGCAGTCACAACAAAGCCATCCCAAGTTGAATTTGATGAAAAGATTGAATTGATACCAGATGAAGGTATTGTTGTTGATTTAGAGCAAGCCTGGCAGGTAAGCATCATTTATAGATGTTCTAACACTACAGTAATGTACTTTATTTTCACTTGGAATTTTATTTTCGCTATTCGCTGAATGAATGATTCAGTAAAGATAAAATCCAGTCAAAATAACTTTTTTTCTATATTCTACATTCAACTCATTAAAAATCAATGTAAATAAACTCCATACAAAATACCCAAAATGTATTTTCAGCAAAAAGTAATTCCAGCTAAAATAAAGTATTTTACAGTATTATTGAATGTGAAATGCAGTGGCATACATTTCACGCCCTGTAAAATTTTCAATACATCAAACTGTGTAAATCATTGTCTCGCATACGGAAAAGTATTTTTATTGAGTTATAATGATTTTTTTCATACTGGCATTATGATAAGAAATAAAAAGTGCCACCTACATGTACCATCTCCATTCATGTTGTATTATTCAGATTCACAAATAAAAATTCATTTTAAATTATAAATTAAATTATAAGTTATTCATCTCAATTTGTGAACAATACTCATTTGAAACAAAAAAAAAATTGTTATTACTATTTTTCAGGATGTCAACGCACCAGAATCAGTTACATATGAAGACATTGTCAATATAGAAGGTGAAATACAGCCACTGGAATCCAGAATAGAAATCTCTAAGACTGACCTACCACGAGCAAAATCCAAAATCCCAATTTTCAGTAGCTCTGTCTCATTCTTGTCTACATGGGCACCAAAGGAGAAACCTAAAACAGAGGTGAGAATTTGTTCAAAGATCATTGATAAACCTTGTGGCTCTTCCACATGGTCAGATTGGATCAGCAGTGTACACCTGACTAAATGAACCTGAGAATGCCTAGGTGAATTGATTGATCCTCATGTACAGTCTGTAAGGATGTTGTAAATGAAGTTTTTGACTAATCAAAATGCAGCTGCCCGGTTAATTTGTAAATCAAAGAAATCGGATCATGTCAGTCCACTTCTAAAATCACTGCACTGGTTACCAATTACATCTCGTATACATTAAAAAGTCAGAACTATTTGTTACAGTTCCATAGCTGTCACCGGTCCATCATACATATCATAACTACTTCAACTATATACTCCTGCCAGATAACTTCGTTCATCCTCAGACACCCGTATTTTCTTGAAACCGTGCGTTTCAACCAAAACATATGGTGAACGCACATTTGCTCATATTGGCCCCACTACATGGAACAATCTACCATATGATGTCCGCCACTCAAGTTCTCATGACTCTTTTTGTAATAGGTTGAAGACTCACCTATTTGATTTGAATTGAAATTTACTTTTTTTTTTTTTTATGCGCTTAGAGCTAATTTAGGTTAAGTGGAATATAAATACTCTTCATTATTATTATTATTAATTGATTTTTGCTTTGTTTTCATCATAGAAGAAACAACCCCCTAGAGAACCAGAGAGAATGAGTATTCATCATTTCTGTACACATGCACCAGAGTTACCACTTCCTGGTCATTTACAAGCAGTCAGTAGAACCTACCATACACCAGCCAAGTATGGAATACAACAAAACATGGACAGGGTAAGTTGTCATACAACCATGTACACATACACATTTATAAATATTTTGAAATCTATAATATAATGTTTCTATTGCTATTTATGTTTGGAGGTAGACAACCTGTAATGTCTATTAGTCTGCTAACAGAATATAGATGATAGAAACCAATAACCCCAGCTGGTAAAGTCTTCCAACCATGGCAGATCCATTATGCATTCTAAATGTTTCATTAAGTGATTTAAATAAGTTTGCCTCTGATTGGAGAAAAAGCTCTAACACCTAACCAGAAGACGAATCAGAAAAGGCCTTGCTTGTTCTCTTGGATTAGCCTCATATGAAGTTCTGGTGATAATATTTGTTGGAGTAGTGGAGGTCAGGCTATTTGCTAATTTTGTTAGATAGTTGATTAAACTAAAATTGCTTTGATTGAAATATATTTTTCGTATCTTCTTATCTATGGCATCCCAAAATAACGTGTCAGCTTTGATGGCTATGATGATAATAATGGCAAACAATGTGCACTGACTATTCAATACATTCATCAGATCATGTAAAACATTGGCTGGATCTTGTTGTCTGTAGCTTATTTTTTTATTGAAAGTCTCAGAAAGTCTCTGAGATTGTGACAATTAGTCTAAAAGTTTTCAAGATTGTGGATAATACAAATTTGATTGAGCTTTCTACTTCCGTATTTGTCCTATTAGAAGTGCATATAAACCTAAAATCAAATTTGTTTAATACTGAATAATTAAAAATGTAACTTATTTTGACCATTGAAATGTTTCAGATCTGAAATTTACGTAAGCGTATGCTCTACCGGTACTATTAGAGCAAATATAGGAATATTAATTTTTGAATTACCGACCGACTAATTAAGTAATGTAATTTAAAACTGCTAACAAGTTTGGAGCTATGGAGAAATCACCTTGTAATATGTGTTTGTATTCATTTGATGTAACCAACTGCTCGGTAAAATATCAATAATTTATCATTTTATGTTTTCTCTTTTGAGAGGCATACTCATTTGTTCATCCAAATATTGCCAAAAAAAAAAATTTTAATTGTTGATAAAGTAGTTGACATATGTTACAATCACACTCCATTACCTTTGTTTGACAGCATTCAAGATTCACAACTCAGAGCTACTATTCTCAGCTATCAGACTCCCAGCATACAATGCAGCAACAGATAGACGACTATCAGGACCGGGACCGTCGCATGTCGGCTGCCGCTAAAAGAATACTTGAGGTAGCATCTGATGATTCGCTGGATGCATGGCAGCAAAGAGCAGATGAGCTGGTCAGTATAAATCTTCACATTCTCAAAAAAAAAATGCACATACACTTTGTAAACTATGTATTTATTGTATGCCTGATGATCGAAGTATGACTTAAAGTTCAAAGTGTGCTTCAATGGTCTGCCAGTTTTGAACCTCTCACAAAAACCGCTTTTTGTTGTCAATGTATCTCCAGGGTTGCATTTCTGGTCACACTTTGGGTGGGTACTGGTAAATAATATACAAATATTGACCCTGACCAAGGTTGATATACAGATTTGTCAACCCGGAGAAAACAAACTGAGGCAAAGCAAATTCTGAAATGCCATGTGAATTTCAAGTTTCAATGTTTTGTATGCATTGAAAAGTATGGAAAAAAAAACATGATGAAAAAAGCAGTTGATGACTCTTTCCATGTGTCAAGACAAAACCATGCAAAAATTGAGAGATGTTTACTAACAACTGCCACTGTTTAATTTCAAGTTCAATGGAGAAGACTGCGATAGAGTTGATGGTAAAAAGATGTCAGTAAATACAGACGTGTCCAGGTAAGAAAATATCTATCATTATACCAGTATTACATAGTATTACAGTATGATACAAACATGGTAGAATGACTTTGTTGCACAAGAATTGTATTTCTAACACTGCAAACTATTGTTTTTGACTTGTAGATTTGTGTTCTCAGTAATACATAGTGTACTATAATGCTGATTTAGGATATACTATTTATTTATTCATCAGGCTTTATTGGACTCCAGCTCCTCCCAAGATGGATGTACCACCAGCTTATGTAAAGAGTCACTTGTTTCCTGGTTACCATGGGGCGGCATTAGCTGAGGAAAGCGTACAAGCACCAACAATTGGTGAGGAGTCTGGTGAGAGTGAGGCTGAGTTGGTTAGTATCTATGATGAAGGGGATGTAGAAGAGAAGCTACAAAGGGAAAGGTGAGGGCGCTCTTCTCTAAATGTCTTAGAAAGTAATTCAAAACTGTCCATATTCTTGTTGCCGCTATAAATGATATTTCTTTGCAAATAACGATCTATAAATGTAAAATGTTTTGCTGTTCTTTAAAAAGTTTACTCTAAGCATGTCCATAATCTTCATATATGAACGTTAACTGCGTACAGATGTATGTCAAAATAGGTTTATAAATATGTAGATTTCCTTATGCTAATTGAAATACGCTTCTCAGTTCACATGTATACAATATACATGGGCGACACCCACTCATCCCCCTATATTCGATGCAATGCTTGCATTTAACTTTGGTATCTTGTAATTCCGATTAGGCATGTCATGTTTGAAACAAAATGTGGAAAAATTAAAATCATGACTTTGGTGGAATAATTATGTGATTAGGATTAAGGTAGTTCTCTACCATTAAAATATTACAAACTTTATAATTAAAAAATTGTTGTGTGATGATTCACATACATGCAAGTAATATATGCATATAATATTCAAAATTTTTAGACAGCCATATGTAGCTTCATAACGCTATATACCGGTAATCATATTTTTAGAATAGGTCACCGAACAAAATTTTGAGATATGATGGAATATTTCTGCCATAGGAACCAATTGTAAACTATTCAAAACATGCATTTTTTAATCAATTTCTGAGGTCGTTTTGTGGAAAACTTTTGGTGACCAAATATTTCTGTTTCAGAATTTTGAATATTACAGTACCCCAACCCCTCTTGCTCGAGTTCAAGGGTTTCTGAGTATGTTTTTTAATGTTAGCAAACTATCTTAATGTCTTGTGCTTATATTATGTATAGAACACTGACCAGAGTGTATGGTTCCAATGAAGATGTGAGTAAAGTCCCTAAACCTAGACAATTGAAACCCAAGACACCAGCAAGATCACCATCTGTAAGTTCAAAGTCAACCACTGAGCCTGAAAGAATGAAGAAAAAAGGTAAAGATTTCAACTGTGTTTTACAATAATTGGGTAACACAAACAAGCCTTTAGAAACTGTAGGGGTTGGGGTAGAAACAGATAAGGCAATTCAGTTTGCAGAATGTGTGGATAAAAAGCAATCTCTAACTGTAGTCAGGGTTTCATGTGCAATGAAGATCTCGCAAGAATTGAAGAAGCCACATGGATTGTGAGATGATCGTCAACATTTTATTTAAATCCTTTGATGTGTTTAAGTATTACGTTTACTGTAATTAATAAATACTACAGGTATGGTAAGATATCCGCTATGCCAATAGTCTAGCAATTCAGTTAATATTCAGTGTTAACCATTTTTCATTACGAGTCTTGTTCACTACGGAAATTTTGCTTTGATTCTAAAGTTTTTGAAACTTTTTTTTTTATCTAGGAGCACCTCTGCCAATACGTGTCAGAGTCAAAGACATTGAACTCCCTGAAGACTTACCACTCTCTGTTGCAGCTGACAAACTGTACAACAGTGTACAGAAGTGGGACGATATCCCACAATTCAAAGCATACATAGAAGCCTTATCAGGTAGTGCGAAGTGTTCTAATGTGTCAAAAGGTAGTTTGGTGTTTGAAGTGGACTGTAACAATCCTAAAGCGGCAGATGCTGTCTGGTCAGCTTACCAGAGTGGCCGCTTAGAACAGTTACTTAAGGAAAGTCTGATGAAAAAAACTGGTGCTCACAGACTAGTGCTTGAGATAGTCATTGGTGAGGAGGAGTTCCAAGGGCTGAAAAGAGAACTTTCAGAAGGTGAATTGACTTTTCTTTGCCTCTCTTCTCATCAGTCATGATTCAGATTTGTTGGAATAGCTTTTGCATGCATATGAATACACATGTTTTTTCTCATTCATTCAAATTTTTAGTTTGTTGTTATCACATCTCTTCCTCAAGTTTTCAACACGGAGACTTGTGTTCTCACTGTTTTGCTGCATATTTTCCAACATGTTGACATAAATACATGTTTATTGCACCCAATTGTCAGCACATTTCAATAGTTAAATTATTTCAATCACTATTGCATTCTTCACCCATACTGAACACTGTCTCAGAATGATTTTTTTCCACCATTACCAGTAATGTCAGTTACAAATACCAGTAACTTCACTGTTAATTCATTCATGTTTGATTTGCATATAAGTAAACACAAATGATATCCATCAGATTGCTGTACATCATAGTGGCATTGATATTGAAGAGATTGGCGTCACTTTTGATGTCACAGATCAGATATACAACAACAAAAACGCAGCTGTATTTCATATAAACATTTCTGCTGCACCTGTTGTAAAATTTGTTAATTTGCATGCTTAGTAAATAAGCATGACAGTCACCTGTTTCCTCAATATTAATATATATAAGTTGCAATGTACACGATTTATTTATTCACATAATATTGATAATTGTTTGCACATACACTCTAGCTGAGGAACAAGATGAAGACATAGGTGCCATGGTGACAGGTCAGTCCACTATCAGCACTATCTTTGTTATGCAAATGCACAATGTAAAATATTGCAAGTACATGCATAATAATTTTATCACTTGTTTTGGTCACTTTCAAACTGACCAATAAATGGAAGAGAAGTGTGAAAAATGACCCAAAAATTGGTGCCACGATTATTATGTAGTGCCCTCCAATGTCTATGCTAACTATGTTTGTGCTTTTGTTTTTATTTTTTTAATTCACAGGATATTAACAATTTAATTATTCATTTTAGGAGATAAAGCCCGTCCTTCAAGGACCAGTGTGGCCGAGATGAGACAGATGTTTTCCAAGATGGCTACTATCAATCCAAGTGAAAAACAAAGACCTTTTGAAATACCAGATGAAGACATTTTTCCAGCTGAAGTTCCCATTAGGTACTTAATCAGAAGTTTTAATTTGTATTGAGTCCATTAAAATATATACCGCTAATTATAAATAAATAATATTGACTTTATGTCATTGTACATAGTGGTGTGGTAATTTCAGTGTTTAATAAGTAAATTAAAATTATTTTATGAAAAACATTGACCCTTCTTAATGCTAAATTATTCCCTATTTATTTGAGTCAGACATTTCTTATATATTAATCAGAAGATTATTGTACACATTCTGAATATTCACTAAAACTTTAGAACAATGTTTGATGAATAAAATAAAATCTATATAGAGATAACGTGCATCCTCAATATTAAGTAAATCTCATTCTGCTGTGTAGGAGAGCTGTATCCTGTCCTAATTTGCATGAAGAAGAGGAAGAATGGGATATCACATTTCCTGGGGATTTCAACACTTACATGAAAGAGCTACAGATCCAGAAACAACAAATAGAAGACGTGAAATCTGGGAAAATGAAAGAACCGTACAGCAAAGCAGAAGAAGATCCAGCAAGAGAAATTGTATGTATGGAGTATGGGTTTTAATTGTGCTTTAAATCAAATTTATACTTATAATTGTATCCTGATCATATTTTAAATAGCTAAATTGTTAAATGATGATGCATTCACACTAATTCTGAGACTACATTGGATACAGGCTACTTTCACAGTAGTTGAAATGCCAACCTACCTTGCCCTGTTGTTAAAATCACATTTTGTGATGATACTTTTTGTCTTATTGGCATTTGATAATATAAATATTCATGAATTGCCAGACTGGTATTATTTGATGATTTTTCCTGATTCATTGTAAATCAGTGGGAGTTGGAACATGTTTCAAAAGTGTTAGCAAATGGAATTTGAACAAAAAAAATTAAATACCGGTAACAAGCCAAAATGTCAGTACTAATATGAAAACATCTTTGAATTAAAATAGTCTATAATAGTCCTATAAATGTCATCATAATTGTTCTGTTTTATGTAATCTTTACAGGTTTCCAGTCTCTCAAGAAGTATTGAACAGTTGACCCCTGTACAAGTAATCAAGAAAGGTATTGTTAGTAGTAAACTTAGAAGCATGACATATAAGAATCACCTTGCGTGAAATCTACTTGCTTATTTTGGAGCAAGATAAACCAATTAATAATCCAAAACTATGTAGATAAATCTAAATCCCACAATCCCAATTCAATCTCAAAAGAGATGTCCCCAGTACTTACAATTAGTAATTTTCAAACAGGTTATATGATCTTTATTTTCCTTTATTTATTATTTTTTTATTTTACTTTGATTACCTTATTTTGTTTCAGTGGAAAGTCCAACTCCTGCTGAGGTTGCAAGAGAAGCTGGCTTGAAATATGTTATCCTACCAAGTAAACCCAAGTGAGTGAATATGAAAGAGTGTGTCTTTGTGATTTGGGGATAAATCAAAGTACCGGTAAATTAATATATATGGTGTGTCTGTTTACTGTCTCAAATTAAGGCAATATTGGGTTCCATTCCCATTGTAGTATATTAAACTTTGAATAGTTGTGTGAGATGTCATGTAAATTATGGTGAGAACTGGCCATGTGTGCTGTTCTTGGTGCACATTGAAGAAGCCAGGAGAACCGTCTTATAAGTAAATGACCAAGGCTGAATTACCATAAATTAGTATGGCTGCCAATTCATGCATTCTTTTCAACACACTGTTGTTAAAATAGTCATTAATTTATAATAGTAATATTGTGTAATTTATAAATATTTATTACAGAAAAAAGAAAAAAAAGAGGGCTGACCCTGTGAGTATATTTAGAAATATTGTTGATTATAATTAAGATTTTCAAACATAATGTGGCAATATAATTTATTTTCCATGCCCTGTCTTTGTGATATCAAAGTTTTCTTTTAAACTGATAATAGTGTATGACACTTTCTTGGTGTATTGTTTGCAGAGACGCCTTGAACAGATTGATAGATTTTTAAGAGAATCCCCCAAACAGCTAGTAAGGTAATGTGTGAAACTATTCTGTCAGCAATGACTATTTCTACAGCAAAATGAATTTTATTTCTATTTGTCAAATATTATATGCTTTAATAATCAACATAATACCTTGGTTGATGTTGTTGCTTGTCTGATTGTTGATAACAAATGATATGAATCAGATATACATGTATATCTAAAGCTATCATAATTCATTACAGGAGTGAATCCTTACCCAGGGTTACCTTACCAGTAGAACCACAGTTGAGAGTCCCAAGGTAAGACACACCTGTAACTTGATGGAAGTCATCTGTTGTATGAAAGATGGAGTATGTGGTATAAGACTGTGAAATAACTACATGCAATTTTAACAAACTTGGTTTCATGGCTGAGTGAGCAGTGTTTGATTTTAATAGACTGCACCAACAATCAGTTTTTAATAGGCTTGTTGCTGAATTAGCGAAGATACAATATTGCTATTATAGCTTACTGTAAAATACTTTATTTTCTCTTCGATTTAATTTTCGCTGAAGGAATGATTCAGTGAAAATAAAATCCAGCGAATATACCTTTTTTTCTATATTTTACTTTAAACTTGTTAAAAATCAGTGAAAATAAAATCCATACAAAAACACCCAAAATGTTTTTTCAGCGAAAATTAATTCCAGCTAAAATGAAGTATTTTACATGTTTTACAGCCATTTGTTTGAATTGATATATACAAATATACATAAGTATGTGTTTGAGCTGATTGAATAATGTACTTTGTGATTATTGTCATCCTATATAGGCATGTAAGACATGGACGCAGACCAAGCATTCCCAATATTCTGAATTTTGATGAGTATATTGAGAAACATCATGTAGAGTAAGTAATGCAACATGTTATTATTACCTGATATATGAACTGTAAATAGTGTACATCCAGTGATTTGTGAACGAAGACATCTTCTATTTTCTAGAGGAAATGTTTAATACATTGCATGAATAAACTGCAGCCAGGAATGTATATTGTCACCAAAAGTATCGTAAAAGTGTGTGGTACAGTACAAGAGTAGATATAAATATTTAAATAAAGGTTATATTTCAAGAAATACAATAGAGTCCAGCCTATATTACTGACCTCTGATCAGTCCCATCATAATTACCCCCTGTCACAGACACACTCCGAGATGGAGACTCATGGATTTATTTCCGTCCATTTGTCTGCTCATGACAGATTATAACTCTGGAATGCATAATCTGATTTGAATTTCTTGGACAAATTGTTGAATGTAATGTACAGCAGCTCAAAAAAGTTTCTTCATGATTTTGTTTAGGGGTATTTTAAAGTAAAAAAGGATAATTTTTGGTCAAAAATAAACTGAAAATTATGTTTTGTCATTTCTTAGCTTTGCATTCACCAGTTTTATTCAAACTTGGAGTTTATACCATATTATGAGACACAGCTTCAAGGGACATAGTTTTGCTTTTCAAGCACAATTTTATGCATATTTCAGGGTAAAAAATGGTAATTTCTGATCACAAAAATAGACTGAAAATGATTTGTTTTTTCAATGTTTAAGCTTTGCATGGACCAACTCAAATGACTAACCATGTAGCCATGTCTTCAAAAACAATAGGGTTCTATTTTACTGGCCAAATTGGAATATGACTTGTTCCAATTGATTCACACTCTACTTTGTCTCAAACAGAGACTACGACATGTCTTGTTTACATGTAAAGTGACATGTATACAAAGTCCACCTGTCTAATTTGACTCCAGAAATGATGTAAGATGATATACACTTAGTGATTTACACTATTCTCTCCACTGACTAGGATATTTTGATTTATTCTTCATTCTTTCAAGATTTGTCCTATCATATTTTTAATCATAAATTAATTAATCAACCTCTATATCAAGACCACCTGTCTATAAAGGTCAATTTAAGTACCATGGATGGTTGCCATACATAGGTTTGATTGTATTACTGACAAATTTTGAAGTAGACTTTAAGTAATGTTTTATCTGATGAAGTGATATAATGTAACTGTGTTTCCGAAATGACACGATATCCATGCTAAAGTTTACTTATTTGTCTTATCAGGGAAGGTACGGATCTTCGTGAATGGGCTCGTGATATCTGGAATGACTGGTTTGATGAGGTATTTCCTCCAAGTTATCGAGATACAGAAACACCTGTGACTGATATAGGATCAGATATTGAAGTAACTCCAACTAGAAAGTGGGTCTCTTGTCGAACGTTTACATTCACAATTCAATTATATAGTATTCTAGATACAGTATTCTTTACAGATAAAAGTCTGAAATCTCAGTTTAACAATAGAACAAGTGTAAGAATGAAAGAGGATGGGAAAATAAACAAATAGCATTAGTTAGATTGAATTATTTTGTCATCAAACTTTTCTATGCAATGGAATTTAGTTTTAGACATGCCAGTTGGTGATTGTGTTTACGACTGAAACTGAGACACTCAGTGTCCAAGTTCATAGTGGAGCTGATCTGCTGTTATGAGCAGCAATCCTCTCACAAAATACAGACTATCATTTTTTCATGACACTTCCCACTATATTAAAATGGCAATACACAAACTGTGGTATGATTTTATTTGCATTGAGTCAACATTGTGAGTGAAGAATAATGTTGATAATCTTGATATTGCCACACAATTTTTGTTGGATCTGTACGTTGGGAGTGGGGACAATGCTATGTGAAATCTATCTATATAAAAGCATCCATGGTGTGGTCTGCTAGTGAAGGTTGTATCATCTGTTGTTACTGTGATCAATGATAGTCTAGTTTCTGGTGGATGTCATTGAAATGTTAATATCTGTGATTGGTTTGTATTGTTGTATGATAAACTATTACAGTGCTGTTATAAACGTTTTTGCTCTCCAGAAAAGCAGGATATCATACAAAGTTGTGATTATGTCAAAATAATGGACCTGTATACATACAATGCAATTTTTGGTTCTATTGGAGATGCCCTTTTTATGAAGCGAT